GCTGAGACTGTACGTCGACGAACTCCTCTGCACGCTTTGGAATGGGAGCATCGTGGTGACTGACCTTGGTTTCCGCGCACCGCAGCACTCTCCCAGGCATTGATGCTAACGACAGGCGGAAGACGATGGCCACCTACGCCTTTTACGCCGGTAAGCGCATTTATGTGGGGACTAACCTCCCCATGCAGGCCAAGCTAACTCTGTGTTCCTCTTTTCATGGCCGACGTGCAGCCTTGTTCTCGCATGTGCCACTTTTCGACGCCAGTGGAGTGCCAGCGGAAAACGAAGGCAAGAGAAGGAAGCAGAGAGAAGTACGTTGGCCTCGACCAGATACGCGTAATCCATATGTCGCGGAGCTAACGTTCAGGCGCCGTCCTGTTCCCAGGAAGCCGATGCCGACTCGGCTGCGAAGGACGCCACGGCAGTCTTTTCCGAGTGGAGCGTCGAGCTGTTGGAGACTCTCTTCTCGGTGCTGCGCAACCAAGACAAGCCCAGCAACGAACACTACGACCAGGCCGTCAGGAGCTTTTTCAAGGTGAAAGAGCTGCACTCAAATAGTCCCCCCCCAATAAGGCGCCTAACTAACGCATGTGGTTGCAGAAAATGGTGGAGCTGTTCTTCCAGCAGCTTTCCCCGCAGATTTACACCACGCTGTCCAAGAAGCTGCTCCACTTCGTCACCTACAACGTCGTTCCCAATGCAACCAAGGAGGTACCATCGCCAAACTCTCTCGCTCCTTAACTTTACTCAATCCGGCAATATCCTATTTGTTGAACACAGTTTGGATTCCTGGTGGCGTCAGCCAGTCTGGCCAATCCAGAGGCAGCGCTGAAAACCTATCTGCCCCTCTGCTACAAGAAGATAATCAAGCTCAGCAAGGAGACTGGCGCAGGTACTGGTGGCTTCCATGTTAGCAACGATAACACTTGACTAGGGTGTGAGCGAGTGATGGTGTTGGCTAACTATAATATTTTTATCTGCACCTACAACACGCCAGCTACGCTCAAGGATCGCTCCGACGACGAGATGAAGTGGTATCTCCATTTGCTGGCCTCGGTGGTCAAGCGCACCGGTCCGGCTCTGGTGCCGCATGTCGACAAACTGCGCACTGTGATTACCGAGTGCTTCGCCAGCAACAAGAAGGCGCTGGCCAAGGCAGCAGGGAAACTGCTCCGCAACGTGTTGTACACCCTTTCGCAGTACTACCCGACCGACTTCCGCTCGGCCCCGCCCGCCGTGTGGAACTCTGAAGGTGCATTAGCCCTCACTGCCTCATTGACCCGCAACAGTGCGCCAGCTCACACTGTGGCCTCCAGAATTCGACCGAACGCATTGGAAGACCTGGGGCCAGCAGGGAGACGCTAGCGTTCCCACAGTTCAGTGGCATCAGCCGGTACGTCGTGTGTTGCCAGCGTTTTGGTTTTTTCTTCTTTAGCACGCGGCATGCTGACCACCTACGGACACTCGACCGCGCACTGCAGACCGAGACCGAGCTCCAGCTGGCCAGCGATCTGGTTGCGCACCTTCTCCCCGACGCCTTGCGGAAGCTCCAGAGTCTGAGCAGCGATTCCAAGTGCGTGTCTGCTGTGTCAACGGTGTTCCCCTGTCTTGCAGTGCTAATGCGACTCCGCCTCTGCGCAGTGCGCTGGGCAAGGACGAGCTCTGGGTAGTGCTGCAGCAGGTGAGGAGCATTGTGCGTGGCGCCGCGACGATCCTCCCGCAGGAGAAGGGCAGCCGCGAGCCTCGTGAGCAGTGGGACGCCGAGTTGCCGCACCGAGAGCAGCCGCCGAGCGTCACCTATCCGAGCCATCTGTGGCAAAGCATCGCCGAGGGTCGCAACGGCCAAGTGCGGAGCGACATCGCCCAGGCGCTGAGTGCCGCCAGCCGAGTGTTCAAGACCTCGCGGGCTGACGACATCACGTCGCTGGCCAAGCTGCTCAAGCTCATGAACCTCGTGCTCAACTTCAACGGCATCTCCCAGGAGAAGCTGCGTTGGAAGGTGGCCATCTACAAGGGCGTCAAGCGTCGATACGCCAAGAAGCTCGAAGCGGCAGCGGACAAGCAAGGTAGTATCTCCCCTCCATTTTTGTTGCCCTCGACCGATGTATTGAAGTGCGTGTGAGCGCGGATCTATAGATGCTATGGACATCGAAGAGGAAGCGGAGAAGGAGAAGCAGGAGAAGCAGCACTACCGCCGCATCCTCATCGACCGCGCCCACATCGAGTACCTGGCCCGCGTCAACCAGACCAATTGGCACAACGACGTCGGCGAGGCGGGAAAACAGCTGCTGCACCACCTCTACGACTTTGCTACGTTCGCCAGCGGCTACGCCGGTGTGCGCAAGAAGGCCCAGGGCGCTCTCCACAACGCGTGGAAGTACCGGCCCTTCTCGCGTCACATGTTCCTCCACAACATCATCGCCAAGCTGAGCGACAAGAGCGTGGGCGAGGACGAGCTCAAGGGCAACGCCTTCCTGCTCTTCAACCGTGGCGTCATCCGCCTCATCTCGCGCGAGTGGCGCTACTTGGCGCCTTTCCTCGTCAGCATCGCCTCGTCGCACGTCCACTCCAACGAAAAGCTGCAGACGCTGCTCTACCAGCTCTTCGTGCTCTACTCTGTCTCTTCCTACCCCGTTCCGCTCGCCGCACCCTCGCCGCCCGCTGTCCTGCCGCCGGGCGCTGGCTTCCAACTCTCTGCCGACACGCTCCAGCGCGCCGCCAAGGAAATCGAGTTCCACAACAAGAAGAATGTGGAGAGCTACAATAACGGTAACCCACGCATCCGCCCATCAATTCTCATCTCTCTGTGTCTCACATGTCAATGTTTGTCTGTGCAGCGCTCAGGGATCTGCTGGCCATTGCCGAGGATCCTGCTCTTCATTGGCGCTACCAGGTCATCTCATACGGTAAGCCCGCCTTCGGCGTAAAAGTTGATTTAACGTGGCCCACCAATAGTAACGTTAAATTTGCTGTATGTGTGTGGTGTGTGGTGTGTGTGTGGTGTGTGTGTGTGTGTGTGTAGCATGCATTTTGTTCCTGGTGAGGCCCGACCCGCTGCCATCGCTCCAGGTCGTGCGGCTGTTCCTGCGGGGAACCGTGAACGAGCTACAGCCCCTGCGCACCCTCTCCCGGAAGGCGCTCTCTATCTTGCTCAAGATCTACAAGCCGCATTTCTCCCAGCAGCAGGGATCGACTCACTTCACATACGGCGAGTACCGTGCCAACGCGGTGCGCGCTCACACGCCGCTGACCAGGGACGAATGGAGCAACACCACATTCGTAGACAACAGTACGTCACCGCAGTCAGTCAATTCCTTATAGCCCGGCTTTACTGACACGCCGGGTGGTGATGGTGGGACTGCATCGTCGGTAGATTGGGAGGGGTGGAATGCCGATGTTTTCACCGGAGACGTCAGACCTTCACAACGCTCTGCTTCGGCTGCGTCCGGTACGTAGCAGTGTTGCACAGAGCCCGACAGTGAAACCCTGAGAGCGACTGACGCGATGTCGCGGCCGTTTACAGACGAGGCCATCCAGCACGTAGCCGATGAGCTGGCGGGGTTCTTGGACGACCCGCTCATGAGGCAGCAGTTCCTGCACTACCTCGCCCAGGACCACCACGTCCGGGCCGATGAAGCCGAGGGCAAGTCGCAGGATCATTCCCATGACATGGTCAAGCAGCTCTCCTCCATTCTGGGCTCAGCGCTCGGCCGGTACAACATCCAGTGGACCACGTTATTAGTGTTATTTATTATTTTTTTCTCACTCACACGTGGTACCTGCGCTCTGCTCTCAAGGTCTGCTCTGAGCGGAAGACTGGGCAACATGGGCAAGTCGCTGGTGGCCCAGGCGGCCAACGAAGTCCTTCGCGAACTGCTCAAGCAAAACAAGCACTGGCCTTATGTCGCCAACAAGGTGCGACCACGCTCACACACGGGCTTTGCCCCGCGTTGGCTCACGCAGACCTTTTTCTCGCTCGGTGCCACCCATGGCTACTGTCCAGGTGCCGTCGAGCAGCCCCAACTCGTTCGTGGTTGAAAATGCCCAGCTGTTCAAGGGCCTCTTCCAGCTGTCTCTCGCTCGGGGCAACAACCGGCTTGCGACGAACCTGTTCGATGCCCACCTGCGTCCCTTCCTCGACGCCTTCCTGCGGAACGAGGAGGGCACCGACGCCTCGGGCCGGGTCCACGCCGGCGACCAGGAGCGCAGCCACGCACTCGCTGCCGAGATCATGTCCGGCGCCATGCGCTGCCTCAAATACGGCGGTACTCCACTCTAGGCCGACTGTTGCAAACGACATGCACCCTCCACTGCAGACTCACACTCACGACCCCGCTCTTCATTCTTCTTCTTCTTCGTTCTTCTTCGTGTGATGTAGGCTACGACTATGCCGAGAGGCTGTGGAATTACTGGATCCCGTTCCTGGAGAGAATCATTGCCCAGGCGCCCACCGACTGCGTGCGCAACTGGTTCATCGCCATCAGGTACGACACCAACAGCCACCATCTCTGTATCAGCAGCTTCCGCCCAAGCCTAGTGCTGATCGCCTCGAATTGCGAATGGGCTCGGTGGCGCAGGTTCGGCGTCTACAACTTGGACGTGCGCCGTGTGGTGCCGCTGGGCGACCTCCTCGTTCGACAGCTGCAGACGCTCACGGCCGACACCAAGAAAGAGGGCGACTCCCTCCGCGACGCCAAGGTGCTGCAGTTCGTGCAGCCTTTCCTGGCCGAAACCACCGTACGTCGCCACCCGCCCTCACCCGTCTCCAGTCTCTTGATTTTACGGTTCAATTGCAAACCAAACACAATCAACACAACACAACAAAAATAGTGGAGAGCTGCAGACTACAACCGGCAGGTCTTGGGCCTGCTTGCGTCGCGCATCTCGTCGCCGTTCAAGCAGGTGCGGAGCGAGCTGTCGTACCTGCTGGTCCTCGTCTTCCGCAATCTGTGGCACAACCCGGCTGTTGCTGGCGCGGCCCGCGGGGGCAGCGACGACGCCATCTCCGCCTTCTTCGCGGCGATCCCGGCCCGCGTGTACAAGATGAAGACGACCGCCGACGTCGACGCCGACGTCTCGCCGCCGAAGAGGGATGACGGCGACGCCATGGACGAGGAGGGCCAGGTCCGGTCGACCCCCGCCGAGGACACGTCGCACGCCCGCGAGGCGCTGCTGCTGACGCTGTGGCACGCCACCAAGACGTCGGCGTCGGGCGCCATCGCGCCCTACGTCCACCACTTCCTGCGGCTCCTGTTCGCGTCTCTCGGCGACGAGGACCGCGACACGGTGAACGTGGCGAAGCAGTGCGCGGCGTTGGCGGCGCAGATGATCCTGCCCGAACAGGCCCCGCGCTCCTCCTTCGTGGAGCACCTCCTGGCGCTGCCCAAGCCCGACACCCTGTGGCACACCCGCGCGGCCATGCTGCCCTTCCTTCAGTACGTCGGCCCCTTCACCGCTCCCTCCGTTCTCTACACATCTTCTGCTCTGCCTGTGTGCGTGGACCCGGCTCACTCGCCTCGGTCGACTCTCCCACACAGGATCTTCCTGTTCAACCACCGCTTCTTGCTCAACGAGGAAGAACGGCGGCAGGTGCGGGAGCTCGTCATCTCTCTGCTGGCCGACGCTCGGGTCGAGGTAGGCACCTTGAACCTTGTCGGCGCGTGCGTCTCGTGTGCGTCGGGGTGGTGTCGAATGAGTAACACTGTGAGCGTGTCGACTCAGGTGCGTGAGCTGGCCAGCGTTTCGTTGTCGTCTCTTCTGCACGGCGAGGAGGATGCGCAAGTGACCTCCCTCGCCCAACGCTTCCTGGCCACGCTGGGCCAGCCCCTCCGCAGGCGCGACCTCAAGAATGGTGTGCCGCGCCGCCTCTTCGTTTTCTTTTCGTCGTAGCCACTATGGAGAGAAATCGCTCACATTGTTGTTGTGCAGCGCCCGAGGAGAGGCTGAGGCACGGCGCCGCCTTGGGCCTCGCGGCCATCGTGCAGAGCGTGACCTACACGGTGCCCGCGTGGCTGCCGCCGCTTCTCGTGAGCCTCGCCCCCTACGAGGACGACGCCCACTCGTCTGTCAAAGATGCGGTATCGCAGCCCCTTCCTCCTAGATCCACATCGTGCACACATGCACATACCGCACACGCTCACCGCACTCACCGCACTCACCGCACGCACCGCCCACGCTCAACACAGATGAAAAAGTCGTTCGCCGAGTTCCATCGAACGCACCAGGAGGCGTGGGAGCTGCACCAGGAGGCCTTCACCGAGGAGCAGCTCAGCGTCGTCGTGGCCCTGGGCAAGACCCCCACCTCCTACTACCTCTAATCAAGCCAATAAATAAATAAATAAATAAATGGCCTATTTTCCTTCTGCCGTTTCCACCAACAACACATCAAAAGGGAGGTGGTTGCGGCTGCTGGACATATTTCACGCTCTACCGAATGAGCTAGCCGGGCTGCGCAACACCATGGTGCGCGCATTTGGTGCCCGGCCTTGGGATCGAACCAAGTACCTTGAGATCTGGAGTCTTCGATGAACCAGCGTGCCCTGTTGCACCTCGCCTCGGCTGGGTGCTACTATTGGCCGGCGTAGGCTGTGTGTACAACTTGAAAGAGGTTGGTGCCTGGCGTAGCTTCGATGATGGCGCGGTAGAGCTCGCCTAGAGGCATGAGAGAATGGTGAGTCGGTAGCAGGAGATTGAGATGCTGCTAACATTGGCTTTACTGGGGAGGAGACAGTCACCAACTGTGAGCTGGCGGGCCGCCACCAGGCCCTGCAGCTCGTCGATCCACTCGGCCAGCAGCCGCCCGCGGTAGGTGGTGCCAAAGGCGTGGTAGACCAGGTCTCGCCCGGCCTGCGAGGCGGCCATCATCTGCTGCATCACCTTCAACGACTTGTCGCCACCAAACGCTGTGTTGGCCGCAACAGAAGCAACGTCAGCCCTCAAAAGCGGCACACGTGAGCGATCATGCTGGTCGAGTGCATTGAGCACGCACGCCCGCACCTCCGCAGCCCCAGTTGCCGGTGGCGATCGGTCCCGCGGCCTCCTCGCCTTCATCGGCGTCGACAGCGAAATGGAACCCGGCGTAGGCTTTGCGCAGGTCGCGATCGACGTGCAGCTTCCAGTCATGAATGGCACCCGAGACCTGCTCGGCGTCCATCACCACCAGCGTGCGCTCCCTCCGCCCTTTGTCGTCCCTGCACTCAATAAATATATCAGTTGGACTGGGAAGTGCGCAGTGGTGTGAGTCTCGAAACCTGGGCGTGGCGTCGCTGTGGTCGGCCTTCCACTTGAAGGTATGCCCGTAGCCCGAGTGCAGGCTGTACCGCTCGGCGCCCTTGATGCACAGCACCTCGTTGTCTTCGAGCCGCGAGCAAAACAGCCTGTCGACAAGAAGAGGTGGTCATCAAGCGCGCAAACTGGAGTTTGAAGAAGAACGAGCGCGGCCGCGCGTACAGTGAGACCAAGCACTCGGGTCGGGTGGCGAAGAGTATCTCTTCTTGCATGCACGCCTGAACAAATCCGCATTGAGAGCACAGTGAGCAAAGAGCAAGTGTGGTGTGCTAAAACCAACTGTGTGTGTGTGTGTGTGGTGTGTGCAGTGTGTGCGGTGTGTGTCGTGTGTGGTGTGTGTGTGGTGTGCACCCCGGTGAGCGTGCCGCCGCCGACGTAGGCGTTGGCAAAGTCGACGAGATAGGGGCAGGGAGAGTCTTCGAGGTTGGCCTTGGGCTCCACCACGATTCGCCGCAGTGGTCGGTCGCTGGTGGCCCAGTCGGACGTCTCAGCCCTGCTGAGGAAGTGGCGCCTGAACGTGATACTGCCCTCGGGCACTGTCGGGCCAACCTCTCAGCGCGACAACACACACACAACACACACACACACGCACCACGCACACGCACACGCACACGGCAGTGTCGCCGACAACGAACGAATAGACGCGACTGTACCGTTCAGGGCCAATCGCTCAAAGTAGTGGAGAAGACACCGCAGGGTGGAGAGGCCTGGGCCACCGCCGCAAGCCACGAGCGTTTGCAGATCGAATTGCGGGAAGCCGACACCCTGAGCGCGCGTGTGTGTGCCACCGACAATTGAGACGCTGATGAAGCTGATGAACGAACGTGAAGCGAAGTGAGCAGCTGCTTCGCACCGGATTGTAGAGCGATGGCCGGTGCCACAGTGTCCCGAAGAACGAGTTGGACAGCAAGCTGCCGCACTCCTCCTATGTTCTGTGTCAATCAGGGCACGACACGCACACGCACACGCACACGCACACGCACACGCACCACCGCACACGCACACATCGCACACACGTCGCGCAACGGACCTGGGTGAGCGTGACGGTGGTGTGGTGCTGAGGCAGCATGAGCGGGATCGAGTGGGTTGCTTGTGGGTCGGGAAACAGCTCGGCGATGCGTAGCGCCAGTCGCTGCATGGCCGGCAGCACCTCGCCGTAGAAGCGGGCCACCCCTTCTGCAAGGGCGTATCGTAGTAGTAGGGTCGTGTCAGGCCTTTTTTCTACCCACCTACGATCAGTGTACACTGTGTCGAGCACAACGCCGACGCGTTCGAGAGTGTACCCGGGGCGAGAGCGGGCGTCGAGTCCCGCGCGCGGCGTGCCAAGAGCAGGCTCTGCAAGCCTCCCCCTACGGCGCTTCCGTTCAAGTCGTCGTCGGCCACCATCGCGGGGGTGAGCAAGGTGCGCAGGCCATCGCCGCACACCTCCTCCGCCCCAGCGATGTCGGCCAGGGCTGCCCCAGCGCCGGTGACCCAGGTCCTGGCGGTCAGCTACCCATGCGTGCGCGCTGACTGACGACGGCATTATGAGGAGGGGGCACCGTGGAGAAGGGCGGGCAGGTCGGGCAGGCGCCGCTGCACGACGTTCACCACATGCGAGCCCCAGCTTCGTGAGGCCGCACGGTTCTCTTCGCCGTAGTGCGGCAGCCGCACCCTCGTCCCTCCCAACGTCTCCTCCATCTTTTTATCTTTTTATCTTTTTATCTTTTATCTTTTTATCTTTACATTATTTTATTCTGTATATTATTTTTATGTACAAAGAAGAACTGCGCCCTAATTGGCCCTCCGGGACAGGATCGGCGAGCCGGAGGGCGACGGGGGTACGGCCGAGGGCGAGGCGGTGGGCGAGGGCGAGGCGGTGGGCGTGGCCGAGGTGGAGGGCGACGGCGAGACGGTGGGCGTCGGCGTGCGCGACACGGAGATGGACGGCGTGACCGAGCTGGACGGCGACACGGAGATGGAGGGCGACGAGGTCGGCGACTGCGTGGCAGTGGGAGTGGTCGAGGTGGAGGGCGTGGCCGAGACGGTGGGCGACGGAGTGCGCGACACGGAGATGGAGGGCGACACGGCGGACGAGGGCGAGGCGGAGATGGAGGGCGTGGCGAACTGGAGGGCGACGCGGCGGATGAAGCGCTGGGCGAGGCGCTGGGCGTGCGCGACACGGAGATGGACGGCGTGGCCGAGCGGGAGGGAGCGGCGGAGACGGAGGGCGTAGCCGAGCGGCACGGCGAGTGCGACGGAGAGCTGGAGGGCTTGGCCGGGCGGCACGGCGAGTGCGACGGAGAGCTGGAGGGCTTGGCCGGGCGGCACGGCGAATGAGACGGAGAGATGGAGGGCTTAGCCGGGCGGCACGGCGAGTGCGACGGAGAGCTGGAGGGCTTGGTCGGGCGGCACGGCGAATGAGACGGAGAGCTGGAGGGCTTGGCCGGGCGGCACGGCGAGTGCGACGGAGAGCTGGAGGGCTTGGCCGGGCGGCAAGGCGAATGCGAGGGCGATCTCGAGGGCGACGGGCACGACTTGGCAGGGCCGAAGCCGTAGGGCGCCTTCTCGCACGTCCAGCAGCGGGTCGCCGCCTTCAACGCCAGCGTCGACCCTGGTGTTGTTTCGCAACAAACAGCAACACAGCGAGGCAAGTGATCAGGAGGAAGCCCAAGACATGCGTTGGCACGACCAACCATTGAGAGTTGATGAAGATGACGCGAGAACGAAGATGACGTTGAAATCAAAGAGAATGTAAAGTAAAGGTTGGTTGGCTACGTACCGGTAGTGATGAGGGTGGTGAGGTTGGCCTTGACGTAGAAGGTGGCCCGCTGATCGCAGCCCTTGGTTTCGTCGATCTTGACCATCGAGCCGTCGGCGGTCCAGCCCCCGTAGGGGCCGTCCGTCGTACAGGTGTTGCCCCTGCCTCCCGACGACGACCTTTGTGGGCTTCAGAATTAGCAGCCCATTAAACAAAATCATGTTTCGCACAAAAGAGCTTCACTGTACCAGGAGTTGGAGGAACAGCCGGAAACGGTGATGGTACGGGCCGAGTTGCGAGGAAGACTGTTTGTTGGGTTGAGGTCATGGTTCATGGTCGTGCTGTGTTGTCACAAAACCGACCGGTAGCCGCGTACCTGAAGCCAAAGTCGGAGATCCCCGGGCGGCCGTAGATGGAGTACTTGATGACGTAGGTGCAGGGCTCGACCTGCCACGCCTGCATGGTCAGGTTGAACGGCGAGCCTCCGCATCCTGGCGAGTAGCAGAGTCCACAAACGAAACGCGGAGGTTATTTTTCTCCCAGCACTGGGCACCTTTTTTGATTGGTCCGCTACTCCAGGGCACGTAAAAAGAACGAAGAGAGCGGTGGTGTCGAGGAAGGAGGGGAGAGGCGGAGATGAGGAACGGCACCTACAACGGAACGGGCGGGGTAGGCGGTGATGTAGGAGGTCGGGTCCTGGGCGACTACTGCGGCGACGAGGGTGGCGATGAAGAGAAGAGTGATCTTGGTGGCCATTTTTTCGTTGGGTCCCAAAGGGGCTGCTTCTTCTTGGGCTGGTGGGAAGTGAGTCGAGGTCTGAGCTCTGTCAGCAGAGATGCAATGACCTGCCTTGGCGCGCCGTACGCTTTTAGCTCCGGGTCGAGGCGACAGTACCCTGTCCTGCGCGCATACTATTGCAGCTCCCATCATGAAGCGCCAGAACCCCTGATCTCCTCGCCAATGGCCGCTTATTGAGAGAGAGAGAGAGAGTCGCAGAGGATGACCGTTCGGCTTGGGCAACGCGCTTGTGCTCCTGTGCGGCCGTGGAATGCTAAGAATGCCAACGAAAAAGCAGCAAAAGAAAAAGAGCACGAGGGGAGTTTGAGTGAGGACCACTCCTCGTTGGACAACAACTGGTCTCTCTCACTTTCTCTACGTTGTGTACAGACAAAAACCAAGTGTTTCTTTTGAAAACTTTGTACAACAACAGGAGAATGAACAGGCCTAGGCACTTTCATCCACGCCAGCTTAGGGCACCTCGGCGAAGAGCGGGTTGGGCTGCATGGAGGCCTGGTCGACGAAGAGCGCATTGACGCCGCCTGCGTTGTCGGCGACGCCGTCAAAGGCCGACGTGAGGGCGGCCGGGGCCGGCGGCTTGTTCATCATGCGGTGGACCAGGTAGCCCGCGCCGGCCAGCACTGCGCCCGCGGCGCCCACGCCGGCGATGCCGCCCACCACGCCACCGGCGATCGCGCCGCTCGACGCGCCGCCCTCCGACTGGGACAGGATCGGCGGCGACGGCGACACCGAGAGCGCGGCCGACGGCGAGCCGGAGGGCGACGGCGGGAGCGAAGGCGGCGAAATGAAGGTCGACGGCGAGGCGGTGGCCGAGATGGAGGGCGTGGCCGAGACGGAGGGCGACGGCGTGCGCGACACGGAGATGGAGGGAGACACGGCGGACGAGGGCGAGGCGGAGATGGAGGGCGTGGCCGGGCGGGAAGGCGACGCGGAGATGGAGGGCGTGGCCGAAGGGGGCACGGTGGAGGGCGACGGGGTGCGAGAGGGCGACAACGAGGCGGTGGGCGAGGGCGACGTGCACGATGTGGCCGGGCCGAAGCCGTAGGGCGCATTATCGCACGTCCAGCAGTAGCTCCCCGCCTTCAACGCCAGCGTCGACCCTGGTGTTGTTCGTGTTGTTGGTGTTGTTGGTGTTGGTGTTGGTCAGTGAGATCGAGATCAGGAGGAGCCCAAGACATGCGTTGGCACGGCCAACGGTTGAGGGGTTGAAGGCGAAGATGACGTACCGGTGGTGATGAGGGTGGTGAGGGTGGCCTTGACGTAGAAGGTGGCCTGCTGGTCGCAGCCCTTGGTTTCGTCGATCTTGACCATCGAGCCGTCGGCGGTCCAGCCCCCGTAGGGACCGTCCGTCGTACAGGTGTTGCCGTTGCCTCCCGACGACGACCTGCGCAGGTCGACCATCGAACATACTTCTTTTAGAGGAAAAATGTAAAGGAAAAAGAAAGACCGTGGCGTACCAGGAGTTGGAGGAACAGCCGGAAACGGTGATGGTGCGCCCAGCGTTGGGAGAAAGACTGTTTTTTGTTGTTGGTTGGGTTGGGTTTAGCGTCGGCTTCGCTCTTTTCCTTCGCTTTCGCTTTTTGCCCCCCCCCCCAATTCCTGGTCGCCGCGTACCTGAAGCCAAAGTCGGAAATGCCCGGGCGGCCGTAGATGGAGTACTTGATGACGTAGGTGCAGGGCTCGACCTGCCACGCCTGCATGGTCAGGTTGAACGGCGAATCTCCGCACCCTGATCATCAGACCAGACCAGAAATCAAACGAGGAGGTTATTTTTTCTGGCTTGCAACGGAGTTGGTGTAGATGAAGGAGAAGAGGGTGGTGAGATGAGGTACGGCACCTACAACAGAACGGGCGGGGTAGGCGGTGATGTAGGAGGTCGGGTCCTGGGCCACCACTGCGGCGACGAGGGTGGCGATGAAGAGAAGAGTGATCTTGGCGGCCATTTTTGCTACTTCTTCTACCGGGCTGGTGGAGGTGAGGGTGGTGAGTGGTGTCTCGGTCTGAGCTCTTTCTCAGCAAGTGACTAGCAGCGAGTGCGCCGTACCGCTCTTATGCGAAGTGCCGCACCTCAGGGATCAGCTTCGGGTGTGATTGGGCCGCACTTTGCCGCAGTGGCCAAGATCGCACACGCATCTGGAAAAGTTTTCCTTGGGACCCCGCTTTCGGGCCAGGCTGGTCCAGTGCTGGCGTGGTGGGGTGTTGGGTGTTCTTGGTGGCCACCGAGACATTGACGCCTTGGGCCAAGTCCGGCCGCACGGGCAACGGCCTGGCCTGGCGCAACACAATAACACAATTTCGATGTTAGCTCCGGGTCGCGGCGACAGTACCCTGTCCTGCGTGCATGCTATTGCAGCTCCCATCATGAAGCGCCAGAACCCCTGATCTCCTCCTCCACTCGAACGGCCGCAGATCGAGAGAGTCGCAGAAGACGACCGTTCGGCTGGTGCAACGCGCTCTTGTTCCTGTGCGGCGGTGGAATGCAGAGAATGCCAAAAAAACAAAAAAAAAGAAGACCTTGGCTTGTTGGGCTGAATAATTAAGAACGGCACCACTTGGGGGCAAGGGGTACTTGCATGTCGGTCAAGTCTATCCATCGAGTCACTCGAGGGCAATGCCGTAGATAAGGCAGAAGAGCAGGTTGACGAACTCCTCAAAGGAGATGGTTCCGGACGCGTCCTTGTCCAGCGCGTTCATCACTCGCCGCACCTGAGGCCGGATGGTGAGTGACGTCTCTCGACTGCAATGAAAGTGGTGGGGGAGGTGCAGGAGTGAGTACCTCTTCATCAGTCTTGGCGTCCACGTCGAGCGTTGGCAGCAGCTCCTTGACCTCCTCAAAGCTCAGCTCTCCCGAATCGTCTGGTGGTCACAAGCGCGAGCTAAGGTCATGGCGAACGACTTGGGAAGGGGCTGCCATCAAGTTCACACCTTCATCAGCAGCCGTGAACAGCATTTGGGCTCGCTTGATGAAG